GAGGTTCCATACATCAAGAGGACGGAACAGCTGGCTGATATAATGACACATGGAGTTGCTGGTGGTTCATTCCATACAGTGATATCCAAGTTGGGCATGTGTGATATCTATGCACCAACTTGAGGGGGAGAGTTGAAATACATATAGTTTTATTCTTAGTTACCAACTTGTAGCCTTTGGAAATTGTTAGGGACTAAGATGTAAATATCATTTTTTTCCTTTTTTGTATATACTTTGTCACTCGTAAGTTCAATGATATAGAAAATTACACTCTCAACACTACATATAACAATATAGGGAAGAAAAAGAAACGAAAAAAGGAACAATACAAATAAAGATAAGAGAAGAAAAAAGAAATGGAAGTTAACGAAGAACATTTTAACACATAAATAGGTAGAGAAATAAAAAAATAAACAATACACCACCCACGATCAGCATATTATTTTAAAGGGAAAGAAAATTCGAATATAAGTTCCATTGAGGGGAACTAACAAGAATCAGTGGTTTGGAACCAACAGAGTCATCCTTATTATGTAAAGATGACCTCCGTTGTCGATATGTGGAACAACAATTGATATCAACAAAACCGGACATTCTACCATCTCTACTGCCTGTTATGGAAAGACATACATGTTAGTACGAAATGTCAATTTCTCGTTCTCCACTATGAAATTTATCAAGTTTCAATCTGGATGATACTACATTTGTTTATCCAAAGAATCAGGGTTTGAGAGAATGCAAGCTTGTTGATCCATATGATGTTCAATATGAGGAGAAAAGTTCGAAGTTTTTACACGTACAATTGGAGTTTTAAAAATTTTCGTGACGAGTCAAGTAAGAGCAAAAATCAACATGCAGTCCCTTGTGGGGATTGAATATTCAGGTAAGGAGGTACATTTTGTCCAGACGGGGCTGCCTCTTAAGGATCCTACCCTCTCATGGTATGTAGAATTTATCAATCTTACATGAACAAACAATGGATTGTATAGCTGATCAGTAATGTACTTCAAATCTATGAATTATATTATTTAAAAAGAAAAAATAATAGAAAGGGTCCACTCCGATACTCATCTTTAACACTTTCAAAAGGAATTCACTGTCCAGTCCAGTCCAGTATTCTTCCTTATGTACTGGTATTAAAATAGTCAAATTTAGAGAGCTTGAGTGTTACCAGTAAAAGAATTATAATATCCTGATTCATTATGAGCAGCAACTCCAGTACATCCAGGATTTTCTTTGGTGGTTCTCATCAGTACTGACGGTTGTGATGAAGAACACAGTCTTCTCTTTGAAGAAACTTCACTTCGTACATTACTTACTCTGACATTCGATTGACTTGAATCCTTGGCTACACTCAAGACTTTTCTCATAGATCTTCTTCTTGTCCCCGAAAATTCGGATACAAAGTTTTCAGGGTTGATTCTAAGAATATGAAAAACCTCCTTAGCTAATTTATGGATAGCCCAAGCCTGTATGACATCAGAGCTTGGCAGTAAATTAGTAAAGGGTATGATGACCTTAAAGGCAACCCAAAGTGGAATTGTAACTACCCAGGCTGTATGAAATTAGAGCTTGGCAGTAAATTAGTAAAGGATATGATGACCTTAAAGGCAGCCCAAAGTGGAATCGTAGCTACAGATAATAATTTGAATGAAATACCTGTCTAAAATAAATGGTAGCTGTGGAATTGAAATGCGTTGCATTTCTGATATCAAAAATACATCATGCAGCATAGTTATCCAGAAAAAGAAAGAAAAAGATAGCACAAAATAATCAAACAACTAGAAAAGCTACATAAAGAAAATCCATGGAGGTTAACTACAATCTCACTTTAGCAAGTACAGAAACGAGTAGGAAACAGAAATTTTGGAGAAAGCAACAAACCTCAAAACTGTTCAAGGTTCTGATACATTC